AGTTTTGGAGAACTTCTCATCTGAACCTCTTGCATGATGGATGTTTTCTCGGTTAAACTGGGTACAGACTTGGCCTTGTTGCTCATTGACTGCCTTGCAGTGCTGGTGTTAAGCCTTGCAGTGAGCTTCACCTCAGGGACTGACTGCACTGATGATCCACAGCCATATTGCTCCTGTATCAAGTGATCCCATGGGGACAGCGTGGCTAAGGCTTATGGTGTCAGATCTGCATGGAAGTCACCACTGCACAGACCCTGTAACAGTAGACAAATGGGTGTGCTTAGTCTCGCCGTGTGAGAACACCACCCATTCATAGAAAGGAAGGAATGGCCTCTAAAACCAGGCCATTCGGCTTAGGCTGGAGTAGAAGTCATCCTCCTGCTTTATCTCCCTGAGTGCTGGAGTTACAGATGCACCCCTACACCCAATACTTTTCTTCAGTTTTATTTTGTATTTTTAAAATATTTTTTTGAGGATGGGGGTCTCATGTAGCCCAGGCTTGTCATAAGCTCCCTATGTAGCTGAGGATGATCTTGAGCTTCTGATCCTCTTGCCTCTATCTTTTAAGTGCTGGGATTACAGGCATGTACCATCCGTCACCCCCTACTGTTCAGACAGATTTTTCTTCCTTTTGAGTATTGACACAGTGGTGAGTGAGCGTGGATAAAGGAAGGAAAATGTACTGTACTGAGGAGAGCTTGCTTATGGTTGTGGGATTAATGATGTTAATGATGCAGTTGTTTGTTTCTTAGATATGAATAACTGGCACAATCCCAGCACTTGACAGGTACAGATAGGAGAATCAGGAGTTAGAATCAGGAATTCCAGGGCAACCTTGGCAATAATAGGGGGTTTGAGGTCAGCCTGGGCTATAGGACACCCTGTCTCAAAACAATAAAAAACCCCAAATCAATCAAGCAATAACTGTCTCAAACCATTTACTTTCAGATGTTGGGGGTAAACTTTCATTCTGAGTATGTATAAATTACTCCATAGAAATATTTCCACTGAAATCTGCTCTTAAATTATTCATAAGGAGTGACAGTTGGGAAACCTACTGTACCCTGTCCCTGAAGTGAAAGGTCCCTGCCGGTTGTCTGGGAGGTTCTGGTGGTAATGTGATAAGGCCACACTGCCCTGCTCCCCTCCCCCAGCTGCCTTAGAACACAGTTTAAGTGATTTCCATTGCTGTGTACACCTCCCTGACCCTTTGTCTCTGTTCATATGCCTTCAGTTTGGCACCCTATTCCCAGCCAGGCTAACCAAGCCCACCATTTCTAACAACTGTGCTGTTCTCTATTGATCTCTCCTCCCTGGGCGCGGCCTCTCTTTTCCCTTCTTGCTTTGACAGAGCAGATGAGGTACACATGGAAGTTAGAAGTCACAGTGTTCATTTGAGGGCTTTGAGGCCAAAAGAACTCATGGCACTTGAAATGAATTCTTGCTCTTGGCTGGCATTTTATACAGATGGCAAGTAGAGTAATTTCACGCCTGATTGGTAGAGGGTTTGTCTCATCCTATATCCTGTCAGGTTTAAACATTTTTATTAAATCTAAAACTTGACTTGAAGTACACTCTATTTTAAGGATGCTAGTGTATATTGACGCATGAAATACTGTGTCTTTTGGCAAGGAGATTCCAAATGTATCCAGCCTACCCCTATTAACTCTTGGTAGCAAACAAATCCCTCCACATTAATGGAAAGTTAACTCAGGAAGATCATGCTAAGAACTTTCCCTAGGAAAGTTTTTGCAGTAAACTTTTGCTTAATGTATTATTAAATTATTCCAGAAATAATTTCTTTTAGTTTTGTTAGTAGTGGTAGGTAAGTGACCTCAAGGGCTAAGACTAATATAAAAGAGACAGTCAATCATCAGCTTGCTATAGATCTGTCCAGGGGTCATCATCCAGATGTTCAGACCCGTGGGCTTCCATCAGACCAGCAAAGGACAAGGGTGTTGGTGGGAGGCAGCTGCACTAAAAAGCTTGTATACTAAAGCTAGGTGTGTCATTCTCTGAGCCCTCACAGACTCCCACTAAACATGTAATTTCAGCAAGCTTGTTTGCCCGCTTTTCCAGTGCCTGAAGCACAGCCATGGCAGAGTGGTAGGAGGGAACAGTACTGGCACATACCATGACAGCAGAAGTTGCAGTGTGACAGCTTGATGGCAGGAGAGGACATGGGACAACCCAGCACAGTGAGGAGCGGGATCAAATCTGTTCAGCAAGCCTGTTTAAAAGCTCTGAGTGCGGTGTGTTCTCTTGTAGATTTTCATGGGAAAGAAAATGGTTAAATGAAAATGTTTTGTGACTTTGAGGATGATGACAAAAGCTATTTGAGAAAACCAATGACATCCTAAAGGCAGGGCTGTTCTACAACAGCAGTATTGTGAAGATTATCAATACTATATGTAAAGTACACGGTACAGAGTACCCATAGCCTGACTGTGGTGGATATGTGCAACTCCTGGCCTGACAGTGCAGGTGAGTAAAGTGTGTGTCATGGTAGTTGCTGTATGAATGTAATTGGAACGAGTACAGTGGCTTCTCACCCAGCCCACTTAGGGTCTTCTAAGGTAACTGGAGTCCACACGGAGCAATAATAAAACTAAATGTGTCTTCTAGTGCTGAACCATTGCATTCGCTCTTGGCAAGCAGCAAGTCTGATCTAGTTGTAAAAGTACATTAAGTATGTGACTTTCTTTGTATAGCAAAAAATTAATAATCTAGGCACATTGACAGTAGAAGGAGGATTGGCTATTTTGCATCCATTTCATTTTGTGGTTTATATAGGAACACAGTTTCTGGAAATCCAGTTTCTTATTTTGTCTACATTTAGGGTAAAATTAAAATTTTCAAATAACTTCAGCCATCTTCAAAGTGATAAATAAATAAATATAACCGACTTCAAGGGAGCGTCTTGAGTCTTGTGTCTGAATAATAACCAGTTATTATTCTTGATTGCTTGGCAGTGAGTTTACTCTCGACCTTCCATTAGCTCCTTCCTGGATGTGTACAGAGCTGGGGATCCATGAGAAGCACACACTGGTTACCAGCAGCCCAGCGTCCCCATGCTCTTGTATGTGCACACACTCTAAGAGCCCTGTTGAGAAAGGAATTCAGCTGTCCTTCTGGTGTATCCAGAACAGCAGGGTGTTCTTATGAAGCTTGGAGATCTTTAAGCTTCAAATGCAGCTGCAAGGTGCAGACAGCAGGTGGCAGAGAGTTGCACTCACTGTTTGGGGTTCGTGGATTCTCAGAGAGCAGGGATACATATGGGGGGTGTCCCACAAACCGCTGTAGTACTGAACAGCATTGAGGGTGCTTGCTTAGATATTTTCTGGTAGGGTTTTTGTTTTTTTTTTCAAATTAAATTCTTTCAGTTTCTCCCTCACCTTTCTCTCCCCCCCCTTTTTCTCCCCAGTTCTTCTCTCCTCCCGGCCCCCGGGGGTCATGTAGCCGATGCTGGCCTTGAACTGTCTGTATGTAGCTGAGGATAACCTTGAACTCCTGATCTTCCTGCCTCCACTTTCTGAGTGCTAGGATTACAAGTGTACATAAACTGAATCTGACAGTTACATAATTTTTGCCTTTGTAATAATGGTCAGAGTAGACATATTATTGTAAACCAGGAGCTGAAGCAGGCCCCACACACCAGAGTGGAGGTGGAACTCTGACCTAGTGATGTCTGACATAACCCACTCCCTGTCCGTGTTACTGGCTGGCATGGGATAGTCATTCACTTTTTCTGGGCATGTATGTCTTCTGTAACTGAAGGATTTATGCTACATGATCTCTTGAGGACCCGTTAGCTTTTAACTCTTTGTCGGTGCCATATATTTGTACTGTTTTGTCACTTAGCCCTTCAGTCCTAGTGTCTTCCGCTGGTGTGGTATAAGAACTGACTGTCCTATGAACTGACTATTCTAAGGCCCTTCATTCTGTGACTTCTTCAGTAAACATCTCAGGCCTGGTAAGCTTGTAGAGCCTTTTCTTATAGTCCCAACACATTAGAATAGATGTACAACAGAAAGACCTGCGTCTAGAACTTTTTAAAAAAGCAGTTTTTCCAGCAAACTTGCTAGTGTTAATATGGCAGTTCTCCCCTTCAAGTATACATGACTTTCTCTGAGTTTTGCTGTGGGGTTGGGAATGGTGACCCAAGTCTCTGTGGTAGAAAGTTTCGGGGTTTTTTGCACCCCCAGAACTAAGGCATTACATTGCCCTTGAGGGAAGTGCTACATCCAAATACATTGCAAGATAGGGCTCTAGGTACTTTGCCGAGAAGGCTAGGGGCTTGAGTCTGCAGCTGAGACCCCCTCATAGGATGGCCATTCAAGGGCAGAGAGGGATTTCCTTCAGGGACCAGGCTGAGGAGGCCAGCTTGGCCCCAGGCTCTGGCTGTTGCTGGCGAGCAGGGAGGCAGAACAGGTGCGAGCACTGCTGCATTTCACCTTTGCCTAAAGCCGGAAGTGAAATGCTACTGGCTCACTCTCCTTGATCATGACATTCCTTAACCTACCTAGTAATGCCGTTTGTGAACTATAAACTGCATTAACACCCCTTACCACAATCACATCTTTTCAGAAGTGGGTTCGATAATCAGTTACCAAGTTCTTTTTGTGATCTGCAGAGCTCTGCTTTCGAAAACACAGGCTTGCATTTCCATTGCTTTGCAAGAGTGGGAAGTTTGAGCTGCCACTGAAGTATGGTCTGTGGAGGGGCGGGGCTCTCTCTCTCCAATGAGGTGCCTTCAGTGGCGGGCAAGCCTATCATCTTTCACAGGAGAGCTTACTCTGTAATCCAAGCAATAGCCACGCAGCCTGTTTTATTGTTTGTGGAGTCCTGCGGCTGGGAGCGCTTCCCAGACGGGAAGGAGGGCAAGTGGGCGGTTTATGATTTTGCCCTGTGCCGGGGCAAGAGAGCGGAGCCCTTTGATTTCTCCCGAGTAACCTGTGTGGGTGAACTTTAAACTGGGGGCCTGGTGACGCCGGATCCTTTTCTGCAGGGTGAGGAGTTAGCTCCCGGCATACCAGAAGCCTGGCATTCTGCCTTTGCGGGGAAAGATGCCCTGGAGAGGTGTAGGATTACAGTTGGGGATGCTAGGGATACAGCAAAGAGTCGGGGTGCCTTGACTGTTCTTCACAAAGTCCTGACAAGTGTGCCTGAAATGATCACTCTGCTTTTTTTTTTTAAAGATCGTATTTATTTTTATTTTTTGCCTGTGCACATCCTCGCCAGAAATTGGGTTCTACAGTGTGGTTAGGGAAAACCATTAAATTTTTTTTTTCTTAATCTTTCATTTTGCTTTTCCTTTTAATCGGGGACACGGAAGCAGAATGCCTGCCGGACTCTCAACATTGTCTGGATAAGTGGGAAGAAGCAGGCTTGTTTCAAGAACCTGGCCAATGTTTAAAAGCCAGCTTTTTGTTTGTTGGACTGCCCTTTGTCTCTAGAGGATTTTGATGTGAAAGAAGATGAAAAAGGAAGGCTCCTCAGGTTCCTTCAGACTCAAAGCAAATCCCGGCTCTCTCTCACGTGCTATGAGTTGGATAAATTTCTCCTCCCTGTCCAGGCAGACAAAGAGGCTGTTTCGCAGTGATGGGGAGCTGTCGGTTTGTGGGCAGCAGGTGGAAGCAGATGATGAAAACTGGAAATACAGAACCCAGCCCAGAAAAGGTGACTCGATATATATTTTTTTGCATTTTTTTCCAAGTTTGTTCTATAGAATTCTTTGTTTCTATCGATGATTTCTTGTCATCTTTTCTACCCATTAGTTTCTTGTTTTTGTGTTGGAATTCCACATCATATATTTGTTAACATATCTAAAATAAAAATGCCTCTCCAACTAGATTCAGTTTGAGACTGTATCCTTCCAAATGGGATAAATAACTGTTTGCCTGTGGAGCTCTCCCACCCTTCCCCAACCCCTGCGCTCCTGAGACTTGGTAATGTTCAATGAAAAACCATCATCACAGATGGTGATAGTCTGGGGTGAGGCCATGAACTCTTTTCTGAACCTGCACTGAGAAAACTTGGGGATTTGTGGATGGTCTTTTGGCAGCTCTCTTCTAAGAAGATGAATGAGTTCTGTGACTGCCTGAGGTGCTGGGATGTAACACGGAGGGAAATGGACACACGAGGGGTTTACCTCTGATGTCTTGGCCAAAAAGAGTTTTGGATTTCTATCAAGATTCTTTTCAGTCTAGTGTTGGTGTCTGTTCTCAGAATTAGTGTATTTTATCCCTTTAAAAGGTAAGGAGAAATGCAGTCCTGCCGTGAGAAGGGGGAATAATTCCCTATTTCTTAACACTCTCTATTTTCTATATAGGATTTCTGACTTCTGCCTATGTTTGCTGCAGGAACTGAATTGTTAAGCTCTGAGATGGTCTCTGCAGTAGATGCTATACCAAACCCAGGAAGGAAGCACTACCTGTGTGTTGAAAAGGAGCCTTCTACACATTGGAGGGTTATATGTAACCTGTTTATTACATTCTTTTCCTGCCAATCTCTCAGAGACCTGTCCTTCCCCCTCTTTGGGGAATCCAAACTAGAAATGTGAGAGAATCAAGTGACCTGTGTTCTTATGGCTACATGATTAATCTGTGCAGACTTAGAATTAAACAGCCCTTTTTCAGGGACAATAGGTGTTTGAACTGTTTGTGCCTTTCTGTTAAACTGTGGCACAGGAGGGACTCACTCATAATCTTTGAGGATGTCAGTTTATTGTGTCAAGAAGGTGGTCACCAGTGGTCCACTGATACTCAACTTTGAAACGTGGCTTTTTAGTTTAAACACTGCATAATTACCAGGCTTTGGAAAGACATTTGTGCTTTCGGGCAGGCGCTGTGTAGTTTAAGTCTGTGAACTTTACTTTTCTAAATCAGGAATAAGCTGTGGTTTTGGTCAGTGATTGGGCCGTAATGTTTGAAGCAAAAATGTTTACAGGGTGGATATAGTGGTGCTGTGGTTGGGAGAGAGTGCACTTTTGATTCCTTTGGCCTTTGCCAGAGGTGGCTTCTCAGACATGTTTGGCTTTAACTCAGCCGCTGTCAAGTTTCTGTTTAAGGTTTTACACATGTGGGCATGTGCCTTTAGAACATCCACTGTGTAGATGGTTCATCTAAATTAACATTAAAGGTAAAGAGACAGAATTTGTATGCTTTAGTTTTAGCTGGGGAGAGAAGCAAATACTATACACTTGAGTTGTAGAAAATAAAGAAATCATTGTAAAGGGCAAGGATGACTTCTAAGGGAAGGGAGGACTTGTTTATGTAGCAACACAAAAGACTGTGCCCTTTATGTCTTCTTGGAGTCAGGGGTACAGTAGCCTCCCACAGATAAATGGAGGTATATGACAGTGTGTGCATTGACATGGTTCTTAGAAATAATTGGATGTGAATAAATATTACCATTTTGACAAATGGAGTTAGGGGAAATCCTTAAACTGTCTGTACATAAAAAAAAAATCACTATTCTGTTTCCACATTTGACTTACAAAAGAAAATTGGCTCTCATCCTTGATGTATTGTCTCTGGGGCATGTTATAACAGTTTGTCTTTATTCCATGTAATTCTTTCCTTTGGAGAAATATAGAAATGACCTTTGTTTACTCTGGCAGATCAAAAGAGAAAACTTCTTTAAGGAAAATTATGCAAGGTTAGAGTTTTTATTCTGATGAACATCAAAGAAGCTGAATCTATGGCAAGGGTTACCAGTCAGTATGAAGGGTGCCCAAGGACCATATCAGGACAGGGTCACAAGTAAAAGTGCTCTGAAGACACACTGGTCTGATAGGAATGTGCAGCATTCTATGTCAGACTCCCAGACCACCTAGGAACTAAGCACTTTCTTTTTACTTTACTCAACCCTCACCAACGTGAGCATTTTTTTTTTTTAAATGTGTACATGTGTCAGACAATCTGCTGTCCTTTCCCTCCCCCACTACCTTCAGGCCTTGCAGGTATAGGTAGGGCGACTGTAACTTAGAAAGTCAGTCTTGCACCCTATAGGGTCTCCGTGGTGGGAAGCCTGGTTCTTTTTACTTTACTCAACCCTCACCAACGTGAGCATTTTTTTTTTTAAATGTGTACATGTGTCAGACAATCTGCTGTCCTTTCCCTCCCCCACTACCTTCAGGCCTTGCAGGTATAGGTAGGGCGACTGTAACTTAGAAAGTCAGTCTTGCACCCTATAGGGTCTCCGTGGTGGGAAGCCTGGTTCCACAGCTACCTGTCCCTGCCCCCAACTGCTTCAGGGCCAGACTGCTGTAGGTTCCCTGACCACTGTCGCCAAGTAACACCTTGAGCACAGTTAGCTCACCGAATCCCTGCTATCAGATGAATAGTAAGTTGTGTAACATGTCCATTCATTTTTACAAAACAGGAGGTCTTTCTATAATATGTTTCTCTGCTGGGTTACTGGTCAGTAGCAATCACTATACAACTTTTTATGTGGTTACTTTTGAGGATGTGGATCAGTGCCTCAAGCCCATAGCTTTAGCCTTTAACGTCTTGTACTTAAGAAACTAATGAAAAAGTGATACCTTAAGGTTTCTTTAAAGATTTTTTTCATAAGATTAGAAGTGATGGATACGCATCTTTCCTGTGTTTAAAAAGTTACTAGAAGTGGAGCTAGAGGGATGGCTCAGGTTATGGTTCCCAGCACCCATGTTGGGTAGCTCACAACTGCCTGTAACTCCAGCTCAGGGGAATCTAACAGTGTCTTCTGAACTCTGCTGGTGCCTGCATTCACGTGCACACACCCTCACACAGGCACACACCTAATTAAAAAAAGAAAAATTACCAGAAGATACATATCAATAGGTCTAAAGCAATCACCAGTAAGCACTTGTACTTTGCTTTTCTCACAGCACATAACAAGTTTCATAACTCCCTTGTGCTAGCATTTGTACTTAGGGAAGTAAGAATGAATAGGTAACAGCAGCTCTGTGTTCTCACTGTGATATGACCCACTTCAGAAGCATACTGTGTTTCAACTTAATTAACCATAAAAACCAGGATGTGAAACAGTGTCTTAAGTAGGAGAGGCAGTGAATCAGGAGTGATTTCATTCCATGCCTGTGTAGTAAAAAGCGGGGTTTCCATGTGCAGTTATGAAAACATGAGTGATTCTTCCCTGGCACTATGGAAGGTTCTGGAGGAAAACTAATGACCATTCATTCTGTACTCCTTGAAACTGGGTTTCAATGGGTGAGGGTAACAATGGGGGTGTCTTCTCATTGGGAGAAGCATGATTGATTACCCTGGAATTGGCAGGTCTGCAGATACAGAGAGTAATTGATATGCAAAGCCTTGTTTTAAGCAATGTTTTTGTTCTCTCTTTGTGGACTTTATCTTCATCTTAAAAACATTCTCAAATCTGACTCATGGTTTCAGTGCTCCCTCCTTGCCTGCAGCTTCAGAAGTTGGGCTGGGATACAACTCTTTGCAGAGTACATCCTTGGAATGAGGCCCTGGATTCAATCCCTAGCACATCCTGCCCTACACCCCCAAACCAGAGGATGGCCTTTATAGGCATAAGGGATAATGAGTTATTTGTATACCAGTTAATCAGTTCTTGTGTGTAGGAGCTGTATGTAAAGTTATTCAACATCCCAATGTCCCTCTTCATAAGAGAGCTGCTACGGGCTCCATGTGTACAATTAGATTAGTAATGACTTCAGATATTATAATGGAGAAAAATGATTTGAAGGACCAACAGCAGCAAGTTCAAGATCCTGTTTCCATATAAATAACTGCTTTTTTTATAGTAAAATATCTTAAAAATTATGTGACTTGAATAATGATGACATTAAGAGAGTCTAAATATTGCACAATATTGTTAAAGTAGCACACGAAGCTTGTGGTGAAAACTAGAGGAACAAGTCTTAGTTATTCGGAGGGTCACTCTGTACATCGGTAAAGGGGTTAGTTGGATTTTGATCTTATTGAAAGAGGTAAGACAGATATTCTTAGTACTTCAAATGTCTTGTGTTCTTTCTTACTGCTGAAGGTTACATTCTATAAAAGGGGCAAACAGAGAGAGCCACTTAATATTTTATCTGGTCCACTGAGACTGCCCTTTCTTGACCTTTGATAGGTTCTTTCTTTCTTTCTTTCTTTCTTTCTTTCTTTCTTTCTTTCTTTCTTTCTTGCTTTCCTTCTTTCTTTCTTTCTTTCTTTCGACAGCTCATTCATTCCTTTCTTCTTTTGAAGTTGGCAATCTCTGTTGCTTCACTGTCTTGTTTTATTGTAAAAATGACCTTTTGGGTAATTAAATTGTGGAAATTCTATTGAAATTATGTTTTGTCTACTGTCTTCCCTTCATTAACTTTTAAAAGTTTGTGGACTTACTTTGAGACTCATATGCCTACTTAGTTGATGAGAACTGTCTTAGATAGTAAACTAAGGCGCTTCCTGCCCGGGCTTCAGTTTGGAAGTGAATCATCTTTGCTTTTTTACACTGAGACGTCTTTATTAAATTATGAAAGGTTTTAGATTGTTCTTTACAAATAGACCTAAAATAATTTTGAAAGGTCCTATACCTTTATTAGCCTTTCGTATTCCATTTTTTACAGTTATATATTTCCATGTTATTTCAATTTTTTCAAACTATAATATTTTCCATCAAAGTAGAATTTTTTTAATGACAGTATTTCCTATCAAATACTTCAGTTC